ATTCATTCCATGAGCTTGTCCTCTTTCTTCTTCTTTTTATTCCTTTTCTTTCTTCTTCTTATTCTCTCTCATTTTTTCTTCTCTTCTCTCCCTCCCCATCACTTTCTTTCTCTCCATTACCCATAGGGGACTTTCATCGAGCACCTGGCCCCTTATGTCCTAACGTGCGTCCGCCACTTGTCATTTGGGTTGTTGAACTTTGTGCTTGTGGCTTTTGCAGCAAGAGAGTTGAAGAAGCATTTGAAGAGGCTCAGTGCCCCGAAGCATTGCTTGACAAACTTGGCGGTGCCTTTGTAAGTTGAAGATCTTATCGTTGTCTTCCTTTTTATGTTGATGCTTGTGCATGCATCCTTCTTATTTCCCATTGGCAAATAGGTTTGTTTTCCTGTTGTTTCACAGAAAGTCTTATTGTTTCAGGGAAAGTGTGAAAAAAAAAAGAGTAGACTTTGGAAAGAAATTAAAAACTAGGAGGGATGCCACCATTAATTCAATTGCTGAAAAATGATGTTGTGTGGAAGGACAATCGTATTGTGCCTAAGTATCGCAGAATCATTAGGTGAGTATGATTTTACCTTCTTTTTTTCCTTATGGTTCATATACATGTATTTTAGAATAATTTGTTCCTTTTTTGTCTTATTTTTTTGGGTCAAAACGCTAGCCAAAATATCAAACATCCACGGATAACTCCTGTTCTTGTTGGGAAATCATATATTCCTTTGGTAAATAAATTTGTTTTCCTATTGTTCCAGGGAAAGTCCTATTGTTTTCCTACTGTTTCAAGGAAAGTCGTATGGCAATATAAAATAATCCTTTGTGGGTGAAAGAAAATCGTAACTTTGAGGGTGAAAAAGAAAGAAATTAAAAACTAGGAGGGATACCACCATTAATTCACTTGGTAAATAATGATGTTGTGTGGAATGAAGACAATCGTATTGTGCCTCATACTTGATTTTACCTTCTTCTTTTTATCCTTATGGTTCATATATGTGTATATATCTATGTATAAAATTCTAAAAGTTATTAACGTGCCATAAATCTTTATTTTTTATTTTTTAAAGGGACATTATTAAGCTATTTGCCGAGTGGGAAATATGCATGCCTTATTGCTTTTTGGATATTCAACACATCAATATCATTAATTATATTGAATTTAGATTCCCACATAGAATTTCATTATCATCCACTCGATCATTAATGACTAGCATAACCTTCCATTCTCTATATCATGACTAGTATAGCCAAACAAGTTGCGGAAAACAAAATTGTGCTCATAAGACCCTTGTATGAACTTGAATTCGGAAACAATTGCATGTTTATTTTTTGTCAGTAACTTCGTTGTCATCGTATTTCAATAGGTGCATTCTTTGTTCAAAAAAGTGAAAGAGAGAAAGAAGAACAAGTTGTAGTATTTGATGAATATAATCAAGTAAACGATGCCGCATGTATAATTTGCCAAAAAAGACGTCATCAACCATCTTTAACAAGTTGTGGTACTTGATGAATAGCATCAAGTAACAAGTTGTGATACACATATGATGCAACAAACAGAAGTTACGAGCATCCTCGAAAGGATTTCGGTAAGAATTTACGTGGGTAGGGCGTCCATCATATTCCTTTTCAACTATGACTTCTTTAACTTCTTTTTGGATATTGGAGTTTGATTATAGGGACTGGATCCGCATGAAGTTTTACATTTCATCAAGAGTACTGTATGAATTTTTCTTTAAGGCAAGTTTATGAGGAGTCCAATAGAACTCCTCGTTCTTTATATAAAAAAAAAAGTATATGTTCCGACGACCCATGTTCGTTGTCATCTCCAATAACTAGCCAATGCATGTCTCTATGTGTAGATGTTGCCACATTGCAGGATGGATAGCAAGAAGTAGCGTAAGGTAACTTTTGCCATGAGCTAGTCCTCAATACAATAACTTCCATAGTCATCACGTGGTTCTAATAGTTCTTCTTTAGATGGCAGGAGACATGAACAATCTTGTAAGTGTTGGTCATATATCAAATCTCATGTCGTAAGTATCACTATTGCAAAGAGTATTGCTCGAAACTTGGAGGTCACTCATTGTTGTGAGCATTATAACTTCTCCCTTGAAAGGATTCACCAACAAGTATAACTTTCCATTCTTCATATCACGACTAGTAAAGCCAAACAAGTTGCATAAATCAAAATCGTGCTCATTAGAACCCTGTATGGACTTGAATTCAGAAACAATTGTATGTTTTCTTTTTGTTTGTAAGTCGTTGCCATCGTATTTCAATAAGTGCATCATTAGTTCACCGAAGGGAGTGCAATAAAGAATAACAAGTCGAGGTACTTGATCATCATCATCAAATAAACGACGTCGTATGTGAAATGTGGCAAAAGAGACGTCGTCAACCATCTTTAACAAGGCCTTGGAAAAGCGACTTGACAAGACGGGTTACATTGTTCTCTCTTTCCCTCTCTCTCTCTCTATATATAGGGTTATTTGGACATATGGATAAAAGTTGATATTTTAATTATAAGTTTTAATTATAGTTTTATTTTCGCCTAATATTTTAAATCAAACTTAACTAAGTCCTCTTGATGTTAATATGTTATGCAGATGTTGGGTCGTGGAGGAAGACCTCAGTATGACTCTGATGGAGAAGGGATAATCATTACAAAATGCCATAGCAAGCCACCATTACAAGGTGCGTTAATTTTATATACTATTTTACTGTCATATTTTGGATGGAGACATTATTTTTACTGTTTTGTGCCCAGTAATATACTGTGAAAACAGAAGCTATATTTTTACTGTTTTTATTGTTTTGTGCTCAGGCTATTACATTTTCTTCTATACTTTTGTTTTGTTAAAAAATAATTCAGTATAGTTGGGGAGAGAGAAGAGAGGGAATTTGGGGAGGCCAACAGATAATGTGAAAACTGAAAAGTTGGTTAAGGTTTTTAATATTTTAATTAATGAAAATTATAAGAATTGGTTGATCAAGTAGTAAGTTGAT